CTAGATATTTTAATACTTTTTAAGACATTAATAATACATTAAATCTATCGTAAATGTCCCAATTTCCAAAAATGTTTAAATAAAAGATAAAGTTTACTGTTTATTCCAAATTATGAAACAAGAATCATCCCTTGTGTTAAAAAAATCAAAATCTATTTTTTGTTTAATTATATATTTATGCATGTATAATTATATATGTATGCATGTATATATTATATATATATATATATATATACATATATATATACATATATACATATATGTATATGTGCAGTATACAATTAAAAATTTAATAACTTTGTTAAAAAAATTTTGTGATAATTATAATGCAATTTTATTATATTTTAATACCCTGAATAATAGTTGTTAGCTATATATTAACGAATTATGAGTTAGTAAAAAAGCAACAGTTATATTTTTATTAATTTATGTATTGCAGAGGGCATTATTTAATTTTTTAATCATATGTTTAAATTTTTGCACATTTCTAATAATTAAAGATATAACTACATGTGTAAGGTATTTAGATGTAATACGTACGCTTCAAATTGTCAAAAATTTTTGCAATTTTGTACGACAATGCATCTCTCTGGTCGCCCGTGACTTGTAAATTACATTTACCCAAAATGAATTCTTGAATAGACGCTACATCTCTAATGGAAAATACATTATATTTCTCTTGAGCGAATTTATAGATGATTTTACATATTAAAATCTCTACTCACTGCAATCATAACCTCTTTCAATCCATCGACCGCTAAACGATCGAGGAAACATCGTTGATCGCAAATTTCCGCGGTAAATAATACATTCCAACCATCGCCCGTTACTTTAATCGGCACTCCTGGCAAAAATTTGTAATAATTATGCGTTCTTATTATGTAATTATTGCGGATAAAAAACGCGATTAGAATCGACACTTCGTAAAACATTAACGCTCTACGATGTTTTTAAAGCTCACAGCGGCCGGTAGAGGAGCATGTGTCCTACCGACTGTTACGCGTATTGCTCTATTGACCGCTAGAGTGAGTGACATCTTTTCCGCTCATTCTTTTCGCGCCCAACGGAATGCAAAGTAAAAACGTAAATTATTTAATCGCATATTTTATTCGTAATAATTGCGTAATAAATGTGCATAAAATCGCAAACTTTTGTCGGGAGTGTCGATTAAAGTGACGGGCGATTGTTGAGAGGTATGTATTTATCGCGAATATTCATAATTAACTACGTTTCATCGATTGTCTGGTCGTCCGTAAATTGAAGCAGGTTAGAATATCAGTAAGTACAGATTTTAATGCACAACAATTTTAGACATGCAAAATGATCGCTACAATTGCTCAGAAAGATTAAAATGTAATGTATTTTTTTAGGTGTAACTTGCAGAAAACTCAGGACGTCGGATTTATATCGAGTAATGATCGTGCATACACACGCACACGCACACACAACACCCGCGTACGTATCCGCGTACATAATGGCTTTTATTTTTAGGCAAGACTATCATTATTTGTTTTATTCATTATGAGTGTACATTGTAGAATCAATCGTTAAATTTATATCGTTTTATACTATAATTATATGTATGGATGTGTCGCGACACAAAGTACGTTTAACTTGTATTCGTTTCACGTACCGTAGCGTGTCAAATTCGTGATGTTAATTCGCATAAAGTATACGGGTTAATTTTCTTTCGATAGTTGGTTTCGAAACAGAGCAATTATCAAACATTTATTTATTCGAAACCGACTCGTAGCGTTGGGGTTGTTTTCGTCGTTACGCTTAGTATGCGCGCACATCCTCTTTCTCTCTCTCTCGCGCGCGCGTTCGTGTATCAACGTAAACATTGTGGCCCCCACTTCTCGCATTCCTTTAAGTCGGAATCGGCACGACCTTGTGTTTCTCATTGTACCATTATTATTCGCACGGCGGCACTTATACGAGGTAAATGTGTATCGGCGCGTTATCGTCTTCAATAATACCATTATTATTTCTTACAGTTTTCCGTATCATGTTTTTCTGTCTAATCTATCGCGGAGAGTGTCGAACACGTAGTCCGTGCAATAATATTTCAGTTACATCTTTGTCTTAAAATGACAAAGGACGCGTTGGGAGTATCGCTTAAAATATCGGGCGATTTTCATATGTGCGACGCGAACGCGAGTGAGTGCCTTGCACTGCGAGGACTGAGAGGAGGAGGGGGCTCAGAAGGAGCATCGGGCGCGGGGGAACAACGTTTGCGTAATTAATCATTTATTTCTTATTTCTTATTCGCACAAAATATTGCATATAAAATATTAATATAATGTAGCGCCCATAAAATACTTAAAATACTTTATACATTTAGTAAAATATTTACAATAGTTGATATTCACCATTCTTAGAAATATTTTATATATTTATTATTATTCAACTAATTAAATTTTTTTAATTATATTTTTGAAAATTTTAATTCTTAAAAATTTTAAT